AGGGTGGATAACTTCTTTCCGGATGGGTCCCACAGGAGGTGGCCGCTGATGGAGAATGAGAACCGAACTGCCTTCGGATGGGCTCAAGTGAGGGAGTTCTAAAGGTTCTCGGTGCAATCGCGAAACCATGGATCAACTTATGGGTACTATCTATTAGCCTGGTTTGTGTCAGATATCGTGTTTACCAACTACGATGTTTATGTAAAGTTCCTCAACATACCTTCGAACGCTCCATTGCAATTTTATTTGGCTGAACTTGGTGACCAACAGTTAGCACATCTCAACTGTGGCAGTCAGTTAAGGTCAACCGAATATCCGAAATCTAGGCTTTATTTATATTATGGGTATTGGACCTGGTTAGTACAGTGTACGAATATCAATAGCTCAAAAGCTTTTGGTCCGCGTCTCTTCACAATCAATTCGCTTAATTGCGAATCGGTAGAGTTCGGCGGCATTGCACCCACATTTCACAGCCAGCCAACCGCGTCCAGCAACGTCGCATTAAGTCCCTAGACTAATTTTCAGATGATGGATTGGTGATGAAGGTTCCCAATCCTGGTCTCTGCTGAGGTCAACGGTGCTGGAATTTAGGCGTAGCAGGAATGTGATTAAACCTAGCCAAATCAGACGCCGAAAATTCACATGAATTTCAAAACTGGGTTTTATTTTGTGCAGATTTTGTTTCCAACTAAGAAGAGCAAGTGGATGCAATCCGTGACATTCATCTCCTTGAACGAGTCATCCTAAGCTAAAGTAGAGCACGCCAGCATAATGTACTCATACAGCGGCCATTCGAATCTTCTCGGGAGTAATGACCACGTACTTGTCGGTCAGTGATTATGGCTCCCACAGTTTCGCCCACCAATTATTTGAGGAGGTGGGGTAAGTAGCCGCGCATTGGTGACGGTAGCTGATATGATTAATGCGTAAAGTTAGGGGTGCCAGTGGACCTTCTATTGAGGAGTCAAATAAACCTGTGCTGGAATATAGGACCTAAAACAGTCTGAGCCACGAGCTAACGCATCTTCGTGCAAGGAAAACGCGTGTGCCCAATTCCATCCTGTTTGAGAGGGCCGTCACTCAAAACAATAATAACGTATTTTGTATAATATGTCTCTCTTCGGGTAGTCGACTAACGCCCAGTTAAGGAATATCTGTCCCTGTCGTTAAGAGCAAATAAAATGGAATATAATAGTGTGATAGGAGAAGTTCTCTGTTCATGTGCTGACCACAAAGTCCACTTATCAAATTAATGACACCCATCCCGCTTGTCTTGTATTCCATCACTTAACTTGGCGTATATAGGAGTCGAAGATAGCAATATCTACCATATTCCAAAATCAGCAGAATTCATCATCTAGACAATGACATCGGAATTTTCGGGGCATACTGTCTGTAACGGGAAAATCGAACTGTCTGTATGACGGGACTGAATCATAGAGGCCTAGAAGCCGGTATACTTCTGGTCAGGATTTCAGTTCAATATTCGAGTTTCATGTGAAAGTCAACTATCTAAGCTGCATCAGGCACGGCCAAAAGCTTACGAGAATGGTGCATCAGGTGAGACAGTTCGAACACCTTCTTCAGAAGTTCGCTAGCTGGCTTATGATCACCCTGAATTCACCCGAATTTTTCCCCAACTCTTCCAGTGCATAGGAACAACAACAACAACAACACAGAGCCAAATGTGTTTCCTCCCAATTTTATGGCTTGATGACGGAGAGTGGTGATGTTATTTGTCCAGGATTTGTTCATTTAAATAGCTGTTTGGCCTGAGAGCAGTAAGCAATTCATTTTACTTCTTCGTATAAGCCACTGCTTATGCCTTCACACTTGGGCAGTTTGCAACACAGTTTTGTGTAACTACTCTCCGTACGGGAAGTTCCTGGTATCAGTCGTTATCTCTCTGGGGAACCGGACCATTCGATGACAATGCGTTAGAAACAGTACACAAATGTTTGCAGCTCCCGTAATACACCTAAAACGCAGCGCAATTAATTCGCACTTCAGCAGACTGAGGTATCAGTTGCTATTCAAACTTTTGCGGAAAAGTCACACCGGTCTTCCGAGTGGGGAATCACATAACGAGGAACTGGCTAACACCACGTGAATCGCGTGATTGATGGAGGATGGCGTCATACCTTGCTAAGGAGAAGGTGGACTACGTTGACCATTAACCACCCAACTAACTTTTAAAGCGTTCGAAAGCAAATTCATAATGTCCTAAGTTCAAAAATCCCGAAAGTTTCGTGAGGCACGCAGCGCTGATTCCATGGTTTGACAATGTTGATTGCTTGAAGAGCGGCGTGCTCTGGAAGATAGATTTCCCCTTTAACTACTGAAAATATTTGAGTAGACAGAATAAATTTGCACTGCACAGGGCCCAGTTTTAGCGGTCGTCATGGGCCATGATGCCAAGGCCACTAAGACATTCACATCGGACAAGTTTGAATGCATTAGTACCAAGCATAATTCGGCTCGGGCTGAAGTATCCTGGTTTTATGCTACTTCTTGCCCTTAAATGAGATGGACTTTGCCGCCAAAACTAGGCTGAAAATCATTCAAGTTTCCCAAGTGAATTGGCAGGCTGCAAAATTGTAAGACAAAGGTATGCACAAAGGCCGACTAGACATACTTCTTCTATAGGATTTCAAATCGCCACAGCGGCCGCTGTTTTACAGGAAATTCATAGTCTGCGAAGTGCTACATGGATGGTTGTGGCTGACAGATTCAAGCGGCCAAAGGACTATCGGTGGCGACCAGATATCAGCTGATCACAATCCCCCTCAAGCTGTTGGTTGGGCTTAATCATCAGCTTTTTTTGTTGAACGGGCTTATACTAAGTTTATTTGGTGGAGTTTCCTGTAAGGACTGTAATGTCTTAGTGGATAGTTTTCTCAGCAGCTAAACATGAAACTCTGACAAAACAATTGTTGAAATAGTGTCAAAAACGGGACTAAGAATAGGATAGGGGATCAGAATCCGTCTCAACATCAGCGCCTTCTGCTATTATGATGATCACAAACGGGTACTTGCTGATGGTTTGGCCTTAGAGAACGATGTGTTCTTTCTAGTCATTGTGTATGGAGTAGCAAAGCATACTCAGTTGGAACGCACACATTATTAATCGTATGATCGAATACCGCCTGATCGTTGCTCCCAATGAACTGTCGCCGCTTTCGGGTGGACGAGGTGATGGACATTGCAAACTGAAAATTTTCTCAGTGTGACTAAATATGGGTTAAGTCTGGAGGATTTCATGATGAAGGTGAGCTTTGTGACCAATATGCATTCCAAAAAGTGAACATCAAGCCATATTTCCATTTTTCCAAATACTCACCTACTAAGGAGAACATATCTGTTAAACGGCAATGTAGCCAACCACACAGTACTGGGCACTTTGCCGTTATGAATAGTATATAATAAAACTGAGACAAAAATATGAGGCTACTGAGCTTCAACAAATGGATAACTTGGCATTCACTTACTGACTAGAAGCAACAATTGTTCAGATTTTCATTCGACAACTCGGACCATCTTTTGATATAGTATGTGGTCTTTACTACTCAATTTTGGAGTGCATAGTGTCAAAGGCATTCATCAACTACCTTTGTGGATTGTTGAAACTGTTGCCGTTTACTGTTCTTTTCGGAATTCAAAGATCACATACCCTTATGAGCAAATGATTATCCATTTATTCACCATAGCTCCACTCCTAGGGTGTGGAAGTAGATGGCTTTGGGTTTGCAGACGACAGATTTCGCCCAAGCCAAACCAAGGAAATTGCAGGAGTATTATTTAAGCCATATGGCGAACGAACACCACTAGGTAAATACTGACACATCAAAAGCATGGGGCCATTTACTGGTGCCACCTCGTCTTGAGAGATTTCGCCGCCGTTCTCCCGCCAATTTGCTACATAACCTTTATTTATAATTTCACATACCACCGTTTACCTAGTATGTGGATTATATCTGGATAGAGGCTTCTCTGTTCCTGTTTTAGAATGTCCTAGAACTCGTTCTGGAGGTCCTTGAAGTTAGCTTCCTTCTGCGTTTGCTGTGCCACTATACTCCACAAAATCTGCTTTTGGTAGAGATCATGACCACAAGTATTACCTTCACGGTTTGAAAAAGTAGAGATCATTCGGTGGAGTGAGATATGTAAAATATTGAGATACTGTGTTTAGTTACCTCACTATTCCATCTACTTATGGCAGCTATAGACAACGTTAACTAGTATGTGAATCCGGGTCATACTGGCGGCTCAGTTTTGAAAATCCGCTCATCTAGTAAGCCCAAAGAATTACATAAAACCTCCTCTGATTTCTGTTTCCTAGGTGGCATAGTTTTGTGTGTTCTAAAAGACTGCTTCTTAAAGTAAAAAAAACGATCAATCCGTGATCAAGTCCAACCGTTTTTCAGTTGACTGAGTATAACGAGTCGTTGGGATCATGAAGGAAAAAAACAAACAGTCAAATATATACATACCGACTGGACGCGGTATAAAAGTCTATCAGGGAACTTATAGACTTGTCGCGACTCCCATTACAGTCATCTTACTGTATTGTGAGCAGCCTATTTTTGGCTAATTCTAATCAACTTACGAACTAGTGGCCTAACCCAAGCTATTCGACGAAGGAGGAATTTCCTGAGGGATTTCTCGTAGAACGTAGTGCTCAGGTATACAAGCAACGCCGTAATAAAAAGTAGCCTCTTCTTAACTATGTTTTTTCTTTCTCTTGAAGCCTTGCAGGAGAAAATATATAACTAACAAATTGGTCCAGCCGACGAAGGATCGGGTGGTTGACCATACTCGAGTAATCATATGGCTCTAAACTTGAGCACAATAAATCATCGGACCGCCATATCCCACCGCGAATGTAGTCTACCTGAGTGCAAAAGTATTTGCATTCACCAAGCAAAAATGAATAGCCTAGCAGGACGACGCATGAAGATATAAGGGGGCACACAAGAAATGAACTACTGTTCGTTTCTTACAATTTCTTCCTGACAGTTCTTCCTGGGGCGGGTGATCGGTTTTTCCTTACAAGTAGTATCGGAGACAAGTTCCCGAAGTAGCCCTCGCAGATCACCCAGGACGGAACGTAGAGAACTGAGCCGGAAGTCCATTTCAACCATAGCCAACTCGTCCGGTGTGTGAGCTCCGCCGTTTAACAAAGCACCAGAGGTGCCTTGTGCGTTACTCAGTGCTTGCAATTCCACACACATTTGGCGCATTTGTTGATAAATCTGGTGTAAAAGATGCAGAGTTGGGAAAACAATCTATTTAGAAGTATCCTTGGAACGATACTCGACGTATCATCACAATATACTTCATGTTACATAGTGTATTTGTGGACACAGACATGCCAGTTTCGAGTGGCCAACTGTCCTTAATGTGTTGATGAGACCGCTAATGACTCTACTTCGGTCGTATCCTGTCCCAAGAGTAAACAAACTTCTGTACCATGAAAGCTACCTGAACTTCCGAATAACTAAATGTTTTAGAATAGCGTAAGACTGTCAAGTGAGAAGTAATACTTAGCATGCAATACTGCAGGTATTTGGGAGTTCTTTAGCTTTCAAGAGACATTCATTCTTTCCACTAAAGCATTTATAAGTTTGACAAGTTTCACAGAAGCATTCCTTAGTGAGGAGGAGATGATCAATGTAATCTGCCACTTTGGCTGATCCTTTGAAGATCTTAATAAATTTTCTGGACACGGAGAAGCAACTTGTAGATCAAAAGACGAGGCATACTGCGCTGATACCCTTCTTGTATCGAATGAGCTACAGTAATCGGCTCTGAGGCGAAATTGTAATGCTTCAGGGCCGTCATTTCCCTAACATATGAAAACATACTGTACATTACATACTATTTCATAAGTGTGCGGTACTAATATTCATTTATCATTTGTTGGATATAGTCTCCTTCTTTCAGAGTTATGGTGGTGAGTCCTATGAAATGCATGTTGATGAATTTGTAGCCTTCGAAACTAGGCAGATGCTTTCTGGGGCCTCCTGCACCTACAAATGATACCCACATTTTTGGAGTTGATCTAATTTACGAAAAGGATGGTGGTGTCTTGCTGAATATAACCCAAATAGAAGTCACAACAAGGGACTATTGTTCTACGGCTTATTGACATTCATAATAATGTATACCGGTTTGGTTGATGCGGCGGGTTACGGTTTACGAGGGAGCGATGGGGCACCGACCGGCCAGTTATTAACATGGTTGCGCAAGAAGACCGACGACAGAGGGAGCGTGTCGATGCAGTCTGTTTAGGAGAGCGATTCGTGAGGTGATTGTGGCGTTTATGCGTCCATGCGTGTGACGCAGAAGGATGCTTACTACCGAGAGGACGGTGCGCTACTACAAACAGCTTTCAGTAGTTAGAATTCATTGCACAAAATTAAGGGGGATGCTCTTCTTCGCTTGTTCACATAGATTTGCCGGCAACCGGGAATTTCGCCGGAAGCCGATTTTAACTCAACGAATGTCTGGTGATATTGTTAAATTTGAGTATATGGGATAGACAAAAGACTGCCACCATGTCCACAATGCAGGTGGATGTGATGGAGGAGCTATGTTACACAGGTATCTTCGCACATGTTTCATGAAGGCATTTTACTGACTGTATGTCTGTTTATCCAAAAGTATTCTGGATAGTCATACTTTTTTGGCCTCGGAATTTAGGATCGGTCAGGTAGTTCGAGAGTGGGTCGAATCTACTCGACTTGCTACTGACACTCATTGTTTGATAAGTCAGGTACTTAAAATCGGAGTCGTGATCCTAAACGATAGTCGATGATGTGTTTGAAGCCAGGAAATAATGATTACTAGGCTGCGGATGTAATTCAGTACATTATTCTTTAGTGCTCACATAGACTTGGTCAGGACTCGCCAGGTTATGAATTTGGGAACAGAATCCCTGAATTTTGTTTTTCTTTGTTCACCTTCTGGTGTATTTTATGGTTGTTTCATGGGCGAGAAACTCGTATCACACGACACACGGTTAATCTATGCCCCAGATGCAAATCGAATTTAAGTGCTTGAGGGAGAGCTAAGCGATTCTCCAACTCTGTAGAAATCCTGAACCACAAATTTGGCTCTTTGAGTACTGCGAGAACAAAAGATACTGAAGATTCATACTATAATATATATGTTCAAAAAAGTTGTATCAGCTGAAGTGTCTTACTCACCCCATTAAGCTACCAGGATCTTACCAGACATCCTACATAGAAGGGGCGTCCCATGATTGGATAACTCAAACTTGGTACGGACGGTGATTCCGTCTGAAACAACTTAGCTACCATTCTGCTGAATGGCTGGCAAGTCGATAAGCTCTGAGTCGGTCAACTTGCTAAAGAGAAAGGTTTGGAGCACGCAAACTTCTTCCACATATGACGATCAGTTGCATCATCGGTTGACAAAGAGTACCCATGAAAAGGTTATTCGTTCTGACGTTATATGTGGCGTTGGTTCCTGGATTTTTGACAGTATTTCAAACGAAATTTGCGTTCTGACTTAATGGCACTGCTAGGATTAAAGCACTGACCTCAGCAACTTCCAAGCGTAATTCAGCGATCATCCCGTCAGTGGTATCCAGCGTGTCTGTTAGACATTCATTGGAAGTTGTAGGAATGGGCTCCACGGGATTCGAACTATTTTCAGCGTTTAGCGCGTTGACGTAAGCTAACAAGGTATCATCGTCCATCTCTACGCCATCATCGTCATCTAGCCCCAGAACGCTTTCGTTCATTAATTCAAGTGGCTTGATTAAAGAAAGAGAATATAGAGAGGTAAGTTTTTGGAAGACCCGTTGTAAGGAAAAGAGCCAAAAGTAGCAGAATAGCGGTTGCTATTGAGAAACTTGAGAAATTGCATCAAGCTAGCGGATTCGAGAAAAAATGATATACGTTATATCCAGACTACGTTCGAAAATTACGCGTTGTGATACACGCATAATTATCCATGAGTATTCAATCCAATAAAGTGATTCTTTGCTGCGTGCTAGAACATAAGCTTGGCTTTTACCACGTTATATCTTGTGGCACGGAACTTGCCGCAAACGATGACACGAACAGCCTAAAAGACACTACCTTGATGACAGATCTTAGACTATCAAAGTGTTGAGGATTTGCACCCGAAACAAATCCACGAAATTCCTGAAGTTGATCCGGCGTAATATCTGAAAATCACTTTGGTGGCTCGTCACAAAACAGTGACGCATACAACTGTTTACCTGTAGCTCTGTTTAGGGGTAGACAAAGATCACGAATTTGAAAGAAATACCGTTCTTCGCTTCAGCACTGAATATACTTAACCCTATGTTATCACATTATCACGTTATCACATTATCACACGTTATCACGTTAACTTTATTGTAGGTTTCAGCGAATAAAATTGTATTTTCTGAACGCTGATTAGTCGTGTCGTGCTCATGCGAACTGGGTTGTTCACAACTGAAATTGTTGTCCGTTCGGAAAGTGTATCTTCGATGTGTCCTTCCTATCCTTATAACTTGGATGCTGAATCTCAGAGGTCTGAAAGTTGACCTTCAGCAACTTGGCCAGGTGACCAGCAATGTGCCTCCTCTTTTCGAGTCCAAATTCTCCAGTACTGCAAAGGCAATTCAGCTTGGACACATATCTCTGGTATGCATATCTGAAAATAGCTGTCAGCTGACAGCTGTTCTAGAATGAGCCAGTGTTATTTAAATTTTCAGGACACATTTATCTGCGCACTTTCTTCACAGTATGGTACAATACCCGTTTAAAGTCAACTCAACGAAATGCGCACGCATGAAAGCTATAAATCAGTTTAAATGACATTCTCACGAAGGATTAAGAACTGATAAATCATTACAACACCTCGGAAATTATCCGAACTTTGAGGTCGAAAGTAACGAATTAAATTGTACGTCATAAACACGAGTCTTTTAAACATTTATGGGATGCAAAACGAATGACTGGTGAGAAAAAAGTTTATGTGAAGCGCGCATGATCAACCAGTGCGCTGAAAATAGACGTGGTTCAAACAGCGGCCAATGCTTTCGAGCATCGAACAACAGCGTATGGACGAACAACTCCGTGCGCGTGTCTGTTTATCGGACACGGATGAAAATGGGACAGCCGCATAACTATCGACCCACGTTGGATGAAAATCAATAAGACTGGTTAACTTTATCAAGCGTTTGCGACAGGTAAGTGGGCGAGAATCTCCAACCGGGGCGAGAATGAAAAGTCTCAGACTTGTTTCAAGTATGACTAAAAGTGTACAAGCGGATGTCATGTGTGAGTTTCTTAGGGCGTGATGATGGTTAACCTGTTGGGATGATAAATAAACCGTCTCCAAAAGTGCCTGAGAGATAGATGAAACGGATATTTTCTCTCATTTAATTCGGTATGTGCCAAACATTTGAACCCATGACTGCGGTAATGAACTTGTGGGAAAGAAAATTCTCAAATGAATCGATTGAAACAGGTTTCGGAACAAACATACTTCTAAATTTCAGTGATGCTAATGCGACCATCTGTTTTTAGTGGACAGGGGGAGCAGTGCTTTTAACGATGTGGACTCAACAAGAGACACAGAGGAATAAAGTCCGAATCAAATTCTTAGCTTATCGGTCAGGAGTTTTGCCGGTAGAATTTCAAATACGATAGTCAGACTTTCCGTACTCGTTGAACTTTGATGTTTCAGCTTTTGTGAGAAACGTTCTTCATTACTGCATCAACTCTGTGAATATGTGAATAAGCTGATTTGATATGCTCACATGGAGCGAAGATCAACAAAATGGAATATATTGTTAAACAAGCCTCATCCTGATAAAGTGAACATTGAAATGATGCTAGGATAAAACATTCGAAGAACTACGATAAACAATGTGGGCGTTGAACATAGTAGTGCCCCAACCGAAGGTGGGAACATCTTATTCGACTCACTTAATGCATACGTCGACGTAGTTCTCAAGGCAAGAATGACAACTGGAGAAAAGGCGACTAGTCCAAGTTTCACGGTAGATATCACTAAAGCCTTGAAATCCCTGGTCAAAAGGCCTGCTCGTCATTCTTCTTATCACTTTACATATCTAAGCATACCTGCTAAAACGTAGAAATCCCTGAAGGCCTGCTCGTCATTCTTCTTATCACTTTACATATCTAAGCATACCTGCTAAAACGTAGTGCTCAAGGGATTCATGAAATGAAA